AGAATATTGGTACATTATGTGTAACCAAGATTTAACTCTTCAATTAAATAATAATTCTTTATTTTTATTACTTAATTCTTTATTTTTATTATTTTAATTATTTAAATATTATTTTTACAATTGACCATTGACTTCGGCGTTGACCGTTGACTCCAACGTTGACCGTTGACTTCCGACGTTGACTTCCGACCGTTGACCCTTTGTATGCATTGTGTATGAAGTAAATATGCATATAGTACTATGCACTTAGTATGAACTAAATATGCATAAAAAATGAATTATATATGTTATCCTTATGAACTAAATATGCACCAATAATATCACTATGTATGCACTGTTTATGTACTAAATATACACATTTTACTACCTAAATATGCATCATGAATGAACTAAATATGCAACGAAAATATGCAATAAAATATAAATTTTATACAATTAAATTAAATATAATAATTAAGATTTTTATTATATAATTAATTTTAATTTTAAATTAATTAATAACACAAATAAATTGTTATGATTAGATCTCAAATAAAATAGGTATGCACTTTTCATGAACAAAATATGCATTTCGTAAGAACTAAATATGTATCATGAATTAACTAAATATGCATCATAAATTAACTATATAAACATCATTATATATTTAATTTAAATATAACAAGTATGCATTTCGTATTACCTAAATATGCATCATAAATTACCTAAATATTCATAATAAATTAACTAAATATGCATTATAAATTACCTATATAAAATATACATTTTATTGCATATTTTTCGCTGCATATTTAGTTCATTCATGATGCATATTTAGTTAATAACAGGTGTATACTTAGTAGATATTATTGGTGCATATTTAGTTTATAAGGACTGCATGTGCAATTTATATCCCATGCATATTTAGTTCATATTGAATGCATGGTACTAGATGCATATTTACTTCATACATATTGCATACCAAGGGCAATATGTCAACGCCGGAAGTCAACGGTCAACACCGGAGTCAACACCAGAAGTCAATACTCAACGCCGGAAGTCAACGATTTTAGACGGAAGTCAACGGTCAACACCGAAAGTCAACGGTCAATGCCAGAGTCAACTAATAATTATTTTATTATTTAATATACATATTAAGGAGTGGATTCATTTTAAGGAATGAATTCATTTTAAGGAGTGGACTCATTGGATCCTCCCCTTATATATATATATATATATATATATATATATATATATATATATATATGTGTGTGTGTGTGTGTGTGTGTGTAGTATATTAATTGTATTTCTTCTCTATTAAAAAAACTTATACAAATGTGGTGATTACTATTTTGAGGCAAAAATATATTGTAATATATATATATTGTCTTTTTTATATCTACTTTCTATATCATATAAAATATTTTATAATATATTTCATATATGTTTAATCTCATAGCTTTTAAGTATAATGGAGATTTATAAAATATTTACAAATACTTTAATTATTTAAATATTTAATTAGTTATATTTTTATACATAAAATATAATATATAATATATCATATATTTTAAATTATAAATATATTAAATTTCAGTCCAATCGGTTCAACTACTGGCCTGACCAGTGAACCATTGAACCAGTAGCACGACCGATCCAGTTTTCAAAACCATGGTTAAACAAGACAAAATGACCATTATTTCATTATTTCACAAAAAAAGTGGCTATCTTTTTTTTTTTTTTTATCTTTTAGTAATATTACCACTTTTATAGATTTCATAGTTTAGTTAGTTCTCAACTAAATCACTCTCCCAATTCTGTAGCTTAGATAGTATCTAATCTTGGCTATTTTATAATTTAATTAATAATTAAACACAATCTCTACGGAATACTATCTTGCTAATCGCATTTTATAGCTACGCCATACACTTACGAATAACGAAAATAATCAGTAAACCGAGCTCCAAAAAAAAAAAAAGTCAAGACCAGAGTCAAAATTGAGTTTGGTGTAGGGTTGATGAAGGCGATTGGCATGAGCAAAAGATTAAACTTAAAGGTCACGCATGCCCTTTAGAACATGCACTCAACAGTCAATTTCAGTTTTTTTTTTTTTGCATAAAGCCCAAACATAACTGCATGCGTGCCCTAGGACGGCTGCAACTACTATTCCAGCAACTATATATTCATAAATTATTAAATTGTCCTATTATTTTTGATTTTTTTTTAATTATTTATCATCTTAGATTATTCTTTTAGTTATATAGTATAAATGTTTTTAAAATTAAAAGGAGAATAAAAAGTAATATATTTGTTCAAGTATATATATAATGTGGGAGATTGAATATATAGTTTAATTTTTTAATACAGTAACCGTTAGATCAACTATATCTGACGATTAAATGATGATCTAACGGTTACAAATTCTGACTGAATGGTTCCGTAACGGGACTTAGTATTTTTGATAAATTTTAGTACACTTTTAGTCAAATATGATATGCACGTAACATCAAGTTACCCCTTCTATTCAACCAGAACTATTAATTCAATGCATAGAAAATCAAACATAAATTAAATGAGATTCACCAAACAGTGTTATGTTCTATATTCATTCAAAGCTCTTTT